TTATAATTATAATATTTTTGATAAATAAATGCATAAATTGCACACTTAAAATTTTAATTTGTGAGAAAAGTCAAAAATTGGCAGCCACATTGCACACAATCACCGTCTTTCCATCTGCCCTGTTTATGCATTCATAGTTGAATATTTAATTATCAACGAGATGGGGTTGAACCGATTAAAATACATGGAGGAGAAGGAGGGGCAAAAATGGGGAAGATGAGAGAGGGAAAGAAGAGAAACGGAAGGAGATGGTGAAGGAGAGAGTAACAGGGAGATACAAAAGGTAGAAAACCAGTCAAAATTTAAAAATAAATAAATTTTGAAAAAAAAAAAAATGATGTGGCATTAGCCCCATAAATTGGTCCAGTTCTATACATTCATCCTATCACCTCCCGTTTTCCAATGGATAACATGGAAATCCTGAACATTGTTTATAGAATAGGATCCACTCGCACTTTGTACCATATTTTCATCAACAATTAAAGGTGACTAACCGGGGAGTTGGGTTGGGTTCAAGTTGAATTTACTTTGCTGACAAGTTTTATGGATTAGGTCATATACGAGTTCGGTTACAGATTAAGTAGTGCTGACCTTAACCCAATGTTAACAGGTTCTGAGTTAATTTATGAGTTAAATCTCTTTTGTTATTTTGTACTATTAGTAATTTTCAATTAAGTATTATAAAATAAGTATATATTTTAAATCTCAATTATCATATTTGTTTTTATTTTTTTCAAAAAAATTATTATTGTTTAGAATATAAGTGACCTTTTAAACATTTATATAAATTCATAATTAATATGATACAATCTAATATAGTTATTTTTAAATAAATAAAAATTACCGTTATAAATTAGGATAATTAACATTTATTAATCATAAAAGAAAAACGATGCACCTTAAAGTCTATTTTTTTACGAAACTAAAAATCTTACTTAAAAACAAAAAAAAAAAATCATCTAAGTTATTTATTTTAAATTATATTAGATAAATATATTTATTATTGCAAAATATATTCATTAGATTTATTAAAAATATATTTTTTTAGTAATGAATATATATTTTTTTGCCGACTTTATTGAAAACTGATGCATTATAATTTAGTTTTTTAAATTCTAATATCATATTAAATTTTTTAAAATTTTATTTGTAAGTTATTTTGTTTTAAAAAATTATTTAATAAAAATATTTTTAAAAATAAACAAGTCAGACAAATCAACTCGTGAATTGACTCATGTATAACGTATGACCCATTCAAGTTGACTTAAACAAGTCACAAGTTCAATAATTGACCTTAATTTGTTTTTCACGGATCAAATTGATATATATCAGATTAATGGATCGAGTCAGATTTTGCCACCTCTATCGACAATCATTTGTGGAGTATGTTTATTTAATAACAATTCTCACAATATGACACAGATAAAATGACAATTCCGGTGGAAGGTCCCACGCTGGAATCCTTTCAACAACGACGTGTTATATACTTTTCCTCATTGCCTTATCTGATTCCACGTTATTGAAAGTGAGTTTTCTAGCAGTGACAACGACATAATAGGTAAAAATTTATCAATTGAGAAAAAAGAGTTATCATCTTATTTATTTAATAGATTTAATTTGTAAATATAAATTTTAGATAAAAATTTAATATTTTACATAAATAATAATTAAGAAAAATTTTATATAAAGTTTTTGTTGAGTTTTTTTATTTGATAAAAAAAATTTTAATTATCATTTATATAATATGTTAAATTTTAATTTAAAATTTATGTCTAAAAAATCAAAAAATTAAATCAAAAAATTAAATTAAGTACTAAAAATGAACAGAAGAAATAATAAAATCTACATCATATCTTGTTATAAGATTTTATTGTTATTAAGTCTTGATAACAAATCATTTCCTTATATTTATCCTTAAAAAGATAAATTCAAAATTTCTCCCACTTAATATTAAAAAAAACAAATAAAAACTTATCTTAAAAATGGTTGTTCTTGACTTCATATTGGAGTCAAGAACCAATTATGCAACTAGGGTCACTACCATGCATGTGATGATAACAACTGTTAGCCTATAGCCGAAATTTAGAGGTTGCAATAGTAACCCCACAACAATACCTCTTGGGGAGGAGGTAAACTGGAAAAGAAAAAAAGGAAAGAGAGTAAATGAAAAAAACGAACTCGTCTTTCAATATCTATCACATAGTAAAGGAATGCCTCCGAATAAGTCAATATCGTGAAAACATCAATGCTGAAGAGTTGGAGTGAAAATGGGGCTGGAAAATTGCATCCTTCACCTACTTGTAGTTTGGACGGATTGCTCGCCTCCCAAATTTCAAACACGTGCAGAGGTTTTGTTTTATGCTTTCGTGTATGACTTTATGGTCACGTTTGGTCGGCTATAGTTAACATTCGATTGATTCAACTACAAAAACAAAATAAGATCTTGTCTGCTTTCCTCAGCCACTTCCAAAGCCTTTGCTGGTGACGGAGAAGACCAAAATTGACTTGGTAAATTCTTAATTTGCCCCTGCCTTTACATGCACTTCAATTTCATTCTTCTTATTTAGCCGCTGCTCCTCTTGCTCGTTTTTGAAGCATTGTTCAGAGTCCTTTAGTGCGAAATCTACTTAAGGAGGTTAGATTTTCTGGCTTTTCTCCTCTCTTTACAATTGCTGTATTCCATCTCATTTTCTTCTTGTTATAGCAAGATAACTCTCAAACTAATGTTTTTACAAGAAACATTTTAATAACCAAATGTTTAATTTAAAATCAAATTAGCTACCTATAAGCTAGCATCAAATTTTGGTTTACAATTAAATACAACTTTTTCTTCAGCTTAATGTATATTACAAAACAAAAATATCTATTAACTGTGGAAAAAGTTTATTTGAAAAAAAAAAAAAACAGAGTTTGTTAACATGCCATCTCTTTGATTTTGAGTTGGCAGGTATTTTCCAGCATCCATGGAGAAGATGATCATGGGCTTTATCTTCCTTCCAATGTTGTTGATGCAAAGTTTCATGGCTTCCATAGCCGTTTCTCAACCAAACATCACCACAGACCAATATGCCCTTCTTGAATTCAAAGCTCACCTCACTTCTGATCCTCTTAATATCTTGTCCTCCAATTGGTCTTCTGCCACCTCAGTCTGTAACTGGGTAGGTGTTTCCTGCGATACTTTTCATCACAGAGTCACGACCTTGGATCTTCCAAACATGAACCTCACTGGCAGCCTTCCTTCCCATCTTGGAAACCTATCATTTCTTTTATCTCTCAACTTGAGTAAAAACAACTTTAATGAACATATCCCTCCGGAATTAGGGAAGCTACGTCGTTTGAGGTTCATGGACTTGAGCCACAATTTTCTTAATGGAAGCATCCCAAATGAGATTTGGTTGCTTTCAAAGATGGAGATTTTTAGAGTAGGTGACAACCAGCTTACAGGAACTATATCAAGAAATATTGGCAACTTAACTAAGCTAAAGCGAATATATATTGGAGATACAAAAATAAGAGGTATGATTTTATATTTTCTAATTTGTCTTCTTTTCTTTATTAGTATTTGCTAAAAGTTATGCTAGAATTTATCATTCCTTAGTATTTGCTAAAAGTTATGCTAGAATTTATCTTTCCTCAATTAAACTCTAAAACCTCAATTTCTTTTCAGGGGAAATACCACAGGAGATAGGTAATCTTCATAATTTGGAGAAATTTTCAGCTAGTAATACAAGCCTCTTAGGTCTTATTCCACCAAATATCTTCAATATCTCTTCCTTAAGATGGATTTATCTCCACCAAAATAACCTTTCTGGTACCCTTCCTATTGACTTGTGCTACCCTTCGTCAAATCTTGAGCTGCTTTATTTGTCCAAGAATCAATTAAGTGGCTCAATTCCCTCAAGTATAGGCAAATGCAAGAAGCTTCAGAATTTGTCTCTAGTGGTTAATAGTTTCACTGGATACATCCCAAGAAGCATTGGGAACTTGACTGAACTTACTGAAATACGTCTTGGCTTCAATGAATTGGAAGGTAAGATTTAAAATTGTGCATCTGGGTTTGATATAAAACTTGCATCCAACTTAAAACCAATTGGTAATATATGAAGTAACCCTCCTTGTGTTTAATACATGCTTCTTTGTTATGTGAGATTTTCTCACTCAACAATAAGCTCACTGAAACCATACCAAAGGATATTGAAAATTGCACCTTATTCAATTATTTTGACCTTTCTAAAAATTTCTTAGTATAGGTGCCAATCTAATGCAAACTCTTTTTCTAGAATTAATTCTCCATCTCTTATCGTCATCAAACAATTCTATTTTTGAAAAAAAATTGAATAGTAGTTTAAAAGTTTATCAATTATTTATTTTGTTTATAAATGTAACAGGTGAAATACCAGAGGAGCTTGGCAACTTACCCTTGAGGATTTTAAGGATGGGATTCAACTTCTTTACTGGTTCCATTCCTCCCATAATCTTCAACATCTCAACCTTGGAAATCATTTTCTTAGGAGTGAATAACCTTTCAGGTCATATCCCTTCAACTCTTGGACTTGGGCTTCCAAAGCTTGATAAGCTATATATATATAGCAATAATCTTAGTGGCATTTTCCCAAGTTCCATCTCCAATTCTTCCTTGCTTACCGTTCTAGAGATAAGCAAAAACTCGTTCTTTGGTCCTTTCCCCAATTCACTTGGCAATTTAAGATTTCTCCAACAGCTTCAAATTTCGAAAAACATGTTCATTGAATTCTCCACTCCTAAAAGAAGCTTTCTTTCTTCTTTGATAAATTGTAGGAATCTGACATATCTATCTATATCGTTTAATTCATTGAATGGCGTCTTGCCAGGTTCAATTGCAAATCTATCCACTTCTCTTCAACATTTGTATGCACACAATTGCAAAATCTATGGAAACATTCCCTTAGAAATTGGCAACTTGAGCAACTTGATGGTTTTGAGTCTTTCTAGTAATGATTTGACTGGACCAATTCCAGGAACAATTGGAAGATTGCAACAGCTTCAAGGTCTATATCTTTATAGTAATAAATTGCAAGGAACAATTCCAAATGATCTGTGTCATTTAGATAGATTATATGAATTGGAATCAAGTTACAATCAACTCACTGGATCCATGCCAGAGTGCTTTGCCAATTTAACTTCTTTAAGACATCTGAACTTAGGTTACAACAACTTAAGTTCTACCATACCTTCCAACTTCTGGAGTCTTAGATATATCTTGGAAGTAAACTTATCATCAAATTCATTCAGCGGTCCTCTTCCATTAGATTTTGGAAACTTGAAGGTCTTGATCAGCATGGATTTGTCTAGAAATCAGCTATCAAGCAATTTACCTAGCACCATTGGGGATATCAAAGATCTGAAATATCTTTCCTTGGCAGAAAATGCATTAGAAGGTAATATTCCTCAATCATTTAACGGGTTGGTAAGCTTGGAATTCTTGGATCTCTCTAACAACATTCTCTCTGGAGTGATTCCTAAGTCTTTGGAAGGACTTTCCCATCTCAAATTCTTCAATGTATCTTTCAATAGACTTGAAGGGGAAATCCCAAGTGGAGGATCATTCAAAAAATTCTCTGGTCAATCATTTATTGGAAACATTGCCCTCTGTGGTTTGCCAAGATTTCAAGTTCCTCCATGTAAGTCCTGTAAGAAATCCATCTATGTGCTAAGATTAGTGTTGCCACCTTTAGCAATTACCATATTGATACTTACCTTCATCATCATCATCATCATCATCATCTCCAAAGCACAACATAATTCAAAAGCACAATCCACGGATGAAGAAATTTTGCCAAGTCTAGCAAAATGGAAGAGAATTTCATACAATGAACTTCAACATGCAACTAACAAATTCAATGGAAGCAACTTACTTGGCACAGGGAGTTTTGGGTCAGTATACAATGGGATACTTCCTGGTGGAATGAACATTGCAATAAAGGTCTTTAATCTGCAAGTAGAAGGTGTACTCAAGAGTTTTGACACAGAATGTGAAGTATTGTGTAGTTTTCACCATCGAAATTTGGTCAAAATCATTAGTTGTTGCTGCAATGAAAATTTTAAAGCCTTGGTGCTCGAGTTCATGCCTAATGGAACCTTGGAGAAGTGGTTATATTTTGATAAATATTTTCTAAATGTCCTACAAAGATTGGATGTAATGATTGATGTGGCTTCTGCTCTAGAATATCTCCACCATGGACATTCAGTTCCAATCATTCATTGTGATTTGAAACCTAGCAATGTGTTGCTTGATGAAGATATGGTTGCACATGTGGGGGATTTTGGCCTTGCCAAGCTTTTGGGAGAAGGGGAATCTGTGATGCAGACAATGCAAATTGCCACAATAGGCTACATAGCACCAGGTGATCATTTATTTTTCCCATTTTTAAAATTTTGTTATTGTTAAATCTTAAACATTATATTATTATAATTTGATACAGAGTATGGATCATTGGGAGTGGTTTCTACAAAATGTGACGTTTACAGCTATGGAATCTTAGTCCTGGAGACATTCACAAGACGAAAACCCACGGACAAAATGTTTACTGGAGAAATGAGCTTGAAGACGTGGGTGAATGAATCATTATCTCAGTCAGGAATTGAAGTTGTGGATGCCAGTTTGATGGAGGAGGCGGAGCATTTCATTGCCAAAGCAAATTGTGTTTCCTCTATTCTGGAAGTAGCTTTGAATTGCTGTGCAGAAGCACCCAAAGTACGGAGAAATATGATGGATGTTGTAGTGATGCTTAAAAAGATAAAAAATCAGTATCTTAAGGATATTGGAATTGAGAAAATCATGTAAATTAAATAACTAGAATTAAAGACTACTTTAGTGTTGAAATTAAGGTTTTGGACAAAGAATAAAGATGGTTTCTCTACTTGTATAAGTTTCATAATATAAATTACTAATTTTATAGAAATCTCCATTTTGTTTCCTTGGCCATCTTGTTAGCACTTTGTCGATAATGCTTTAATTTTAAGCTTTGGAAGAATGCAAAGGCATACATGCAAAAATGCAAACGGGCAGCAGAAAGAGCTATTTAAGACAGTTTGGGCATAAAATAGTCTTTTTCCCTTACAAAGGAGGAGACTTTTCTTTCAAGCTAAAAATAACAAAAACAAGTACCGATCGATCAAAAGGACAGCATAGTTTTAGGACAAGTAACCAGCAAAAGTTGACGAGTGGGAACTCTAATTATAAGAGTATATAGTCACCATAATTGTAAAATCACTAACATTAATATAAACAATGTCGAGGGTGTGATTATCTCATAAAAAAAACAACCGAATTATCCAAAATTGATAAAATAGCTACTAAAACAATACTCTTCAGAAAGAAACAACAGAATTATCCAACATTAATAAGAGTTGAGAGGGGAGGCAGAAAATGCAAGTTTAAATGTGGAGGAGTTAACGAGAAAAGACAATCCGAGAAAGTCAGAGTGGACGGACACACGTCCAAGATGGCCTAATTAACGTGGATCGTTTTCGTAACGAGATGAACGGACTATGTGGCGGTTCTTCAGACCAACATCGCCACGTGGCTTCTTGTCCCAGTTGGTGCTGTTTTGTTACAGGGAATTCGTAGTAGAATCAGCCGCTGCCTTCCAAAATCCAAACTGAACTCTTTTCATCAACAGTAATGTCAAGCACAACGAAAATTTAAAACGAAAATTTAAAATTAATCAATCAGTATAAGTTGTGTTATTAAACTAATTAATATATAATATTATAAATTTTAAAAAATAAGAAATTAATGATTAAATAATAAAAAATTAAATTTTTTAATATTTTAAATAATATAACTTATATCATATTATTAATTTTAAATTTTAATATCAAATTTTAATTTTATTTATTATTTTTTTATCAATTAAAAAATTTGTATCTTCTAATCCACCTTGAAAAGAAAATATAAGAATGATTATAACATTATTTAAATAATTTTAATAAATTAGCTGGTAAGAGAAATTTATTTAAGGAAATTTAAATAATTTTTAAAGGTGTTTTTACGTTTCTTTTTTGTTACATAGACATGAAAAACTTTTATATGAAATAAAAATACATTTTTTCAGAAAAGTTTCTCATTTCTCTTTTACTACGTGCATTCATCTTCCCGGTTGGGCAACCTAGCAAGCTTGTAACTAACAACAATACCGAGCATTTCAC